GAAGCGGTGAAGAGGTTGAAGCGGTGAAGAGGTGAAGTGATGACGTGGTGACGCGGCGGCACTAACCTCGTTGACGACGCATGGGGGGCACTCCGAGTCCGCATCCGTGTTTAGCTAAGACGAGAAAAAAAAAAAAAAAAGACACCAATGGGGAGCGATGAATGACGAGCGATGAGTGATATTTTATATGCATAACAAAACTTATGAACAGTCATACATCAATTTGTGGACCAACCAGGTCAAACGATTCGACCAGTCGGTGTTTCCGACCCACGCGCAGTACCTTCACAAAGTGTACAATGCTCACTGGCGGAAGGGATACATCCGCAAAATAAATTTTAACCGTCAGGTAGAATTCGCCCCATCCTATTTCGTTCACTTCGTACGGGGGCTGCGTGTAGACTGCGACGAACGGGGGTGAAGCGGTAGGGTGAAGCGGTAGGGTGAAGCGGTAGGGTGAAGCGGTAGGATGAAGCGGTGAGACGAAGCAGTCAGCCGAGCAGAGGGGTGGGGGTGCGCGAGCCCAAGGCTACCAACCTCGCTTGGGGTAAATGAAGGAAGGGTCCAACTCAAAAACGACTTTCTGCACGAACAGCGACAGGTCCGAATAGTTAGGGCACCGCAATAGGCACGTCCACTTATGTGTCATATTTCCAAACTTGCGTTTCTCCTGTGGGGGAAGGGGGTGAAGTGCACAGACGACACGGTTGAAGCGAGGCGGTGCGGTGAGGACGATACGGCTCTGAGGGGAACTCCCTCCAGGGGACATATACCTGCTGGGAGAGTAAGAAGGCGTAGGTGCCAACCACCACGGGTTTCACCAGCTTGACATTTTGCATGCGGTTCTCCACTGCGTGTAAGGGGTAAGCAGACGGGGTGAGTGGAGGCGGTACGTGGAGGCGGTACGTGGAGACGGTTTAACACAGAAGGGGCATCCGTCGAGAGGGGCACCACGTGTACACATAAGCAAGTACGCGCATACACCTACTTATGTACCCATGCAAGTATGTAGAGGCACAGGGCGATTTGCTTCCCCTGCGGACCCGCTCGGCGCACTCACTTTTTGCGCGGAAAGGGCATTCCCATGGGTGGGCACCTCATCAGGGGGAGAAGCGGCCAAAAAAAAAAAAAAAAAATAATAAAATACACAACGGGTCCAAGCAAAAGAAGGAATTATCAAACGAACGCGTAACGAGCTGTTCAGGAAAAAAAGAAAAAAAAGCGACGCCTCCTGCAAGGGCAACATCTTAAAGGGTTCTTTTCCTTTATAGAGGAGAAGAAAATGATCGGGGATGGCTGTGGCGGAATTGGCTGAGGCTAAAACGGAAAGGCGCCAGATGGGTTGATAAAGGCAATGTACCGCTGAGCAGCAACCCGTTTTGACTGCCTAAATGGGTAACGAGAAAAAAAAAAAAAAAAAAAAAAGCAGAATACTTTCGTAGCAATTGCTCCAAGGTTGAAATATTACCCACCCGTTCATAGCTACAAATGGGAGAGTGTTGAGAGAGCCTATCCGAATTGTTTCTTTTTCTTTTTTTTTTTTTTTTTTTTTTTTTTTTTGTGCTTCTTTTAAATGACTCCCCAGACGAAATGCCAAATCGGAGGAAGAAGAAACGGGCGGGCAGGCGAAGGGGAAGCGGCAGGTCCATCGCAGCTGGGGTGGTAGTTCTGCTGATGATGCTGTTGCTGGGTGCCGTGTGTGTGGGTGAGCGCGACGTATTAGGCAAACGCTGCAGACCAATTGCTTGCACCACCTGTGAGACAAAGCAGCCACGCTTCTTCCTTCGCCCCCCTGTGAGGTCACCAAAAAGGAGAAAATTTTCCCCCCCCCAAAAAAAAAAAAAAAACACCCTGAATGCATTCGAAAGGAGTGTCGACAAAGTAACAGGAAATTTTCTTCACGACAGAGACCTCTTTATAGAAGTGGACAGAAAACAAAAAATGATTGAGGAAATAGAAAAAATGCATCACCTCCAGTATGAACATGTTCAAAAGTACATCCAGGCCTTAAGCGAAAATGACGTGTATGAAGAAATTATAAATCACAAAATTCACCTGTACAAGAAAGGGAACGAAACGGAGAAACTGAACAAGTTGGTGAAAATTCAAGACTTTCTAAACCCATACATTATAAACCAAAGGAAGAAGAAAGCCAAGGAAAAAGTAGAATACATGATTGCTTGCATTCTTAAAGGAGAAAATATTGACCAAATAATACATGACATGTTCAGAAAGAAACTCATTGATGTGTACGTCCTCACGTTCATTGATGATAAGGTGATGGAGGCGCACGCCAAGTTGTTTCGGGGGCGTGCTGGCAGCGTTAGCGGCATTAGCAGCGAAGGCCGCGTTAGCGGCGTTGGCGGGGGTAGCAGCGATGAGGGCGTCCAGGGGCAGGCAAAGCGGGCCGAGCCCGGCGGAGAGGACCAAATGAGCATGACGGAGAAAATCCTGAGGATGCTCAAGGACCGCATTGTGGCACAGCAAAAGCTGCAAGTGAAAGGCACCTTCGACTTCACCAGGATAGTTTTCCTCTCGACCACCCTAGACATGAGTGAAGATAGGCAACCCATAATCAAGTCTGTCATTAGGACCATAGAGCAGCTGGAAGAATTTGAGCTGTACTTGCTAGACGCACTGGACTATGCGGAGACAAATGAAAAAATGAAGCAATACATCCCCCACTTGGAGCTTCTACTAACCACATGTAAAAAAATGAACCCCATATTTAACCAGCTCCTAAACAAACAAACCGAAAACGTTCGCTTCTTCCCGGATAAGATTGATATGTCACAGTTTAAGGAATTGTAAAGTGAAAGAACTTTCTTGTGTGAGGAGTTGTGCTTGGCTTTGTCGTGCTTCCCGTGTGCATCGTTGTCACGAGGGGGGGCCAAATTCGTGGGTTGTTTTTTCTTTTAAGAAGCCAAATGGGTAGCTCTCATTCTTCGTAGTGTCCTTCAATTCGACACAGCTTTCTCCATTATCGCTTCACGCGATTGGATCTCCCCCACACAAATGGTTATGTTTTTTTTTTTTTTTTTTTTTGTCCTTTTTTCGCTTATGCTATGTTGGCCGTTTGGCCATCCCGCTGTGCAGGGCAGTTGCCCATTCACTGTTGCTTTATTTATTTTATTTTTTTTTTTGTTCGTTTGCTCCTTTTAAACACAAACAATGTAACATTTTTAAGCAGAATGTGCCTCTGTAAGGGGACACCCCCAACATCCCCTCCTTGTACGTTGTTTTCCAAATGCAATGTGTTGTATAAAACCGCGTCCGACCGCAAGAACAAATGTGCCGATGCGTATGAACAGCCTTTAAATGCAAACCAATGTGGCCATACGTTCACGCGAAATAATCATATAACACATGAGTGGCAGGAAAAATATTTATATGGGTTTACTCTGGGAGTGGGAAACTCTTTCTGAATAAAGTTGAGCTAGCCAAATATTTCCTCTTTTTTTTTTTTTTTTTTTTGTTTTTTTTCCATTTTTTACCTGAACAGGTCAGGTAAGGAAAATAACAACGCTTCTCTCCCTCGCGGGGGAAAAGAAGTATACACATGAAAAATTCACGCGTAAAGGGGGTAAACCACTTGTGGGGATGCGTTGTTATTATATACCTACCTCCACCAACCACTGTACCGCGAGCTACATATTCCCCAGCCCAACCCCTTCGTAGATTATACACAAATTCACCCAGCGGGGAAAAGTGCATGTGCACAAGGGGAAGGGCGCGGTGAACAACTTGTGACGAATTGTTGCAAAAGTTGCTTCAAAGTTGCTACGAAATTGTGGCAAAAACTTGCCACATATTGTATGTAGCATGTATCATCACTGCATGGGTGGAGCAGGCAGATGGGGACGCGCAGGCCGGAACAAACACGACGTGTACACGTGCGTACGTACATGCGGGGCCGCAAAAAAAAAAAAAAAAAAAAATATATATGCCGCCCACGCGCTCGTTTCCCTTTTGTGCATTTTTTATATGTTCATTTTTTTGGGGGAGGGGGGAAGAGTGGTTCCCTTTGATATAAAAACAACAGGAGAGGAAAAAAAAAAAAAATTCATCCAAAATTGCCAAGCGACAAGCGCAAGCGCAACGAAAGTGCAAAGGGACAAATGATTTACCAATTTGTCACCAAATTTTCGCCAATATTTTCACCCAAATCGCAAAATCACCCAGGGGGAAAGAGGCACAAAACACGCGAGGGAAAAAAAAAAAAAAATTAAAACGCGAAAATTGAGAAAAGCGAGGGAAAAAAAAAAAAAAAAAAAACGCCAGCTTGAAGGGAATGCAAAATTGAGAGAAAAACAGAATGGCATGAGAAAACATGTGCATGAAGTTGGAGTGAACCCTTTTTTTTTTTTTTTGTTTTTTTGTGCATGGTTTCGCTATATATCCCATCGCGCTGGGATCTGATGAATACAAAAATAGGCGCGCATGACAACCCTACTTTGTCACGTGCTTAACTGGGTCAATCCCGCCGTTAGAGTAAACTGCGCTATACGTGCATCCTATACTTTTCCTTTTTGTTTCTCTGCGTCCAATCACGCACTGTGGAGGGAGATATAGACCCTTCTCCCACCCCTACCCCCCCTACATATACACACACCCTGTGTTTTTCCACGTGGCCGAGCTGTATATGGGTTTGGGTCACTCCGCATGAAGCCCCCCCCCCCACCTGTTGCCTTTTGAGATTTGTCACCATGGGAATATTCAGATCAGAGGTAAGCGCGCGAGGGTGATTGGTGAGAGAATACTTGGCAAGGGAAAACCTACACGTTCCGCTGCGCCGTCTACGCCGCGTACCGCTCTATTGCCGCCTCATCACCGCTTCACGACCTCCTTGCCACTCCGCAGACGATGAAGCACGGGACGCTAGTCCTGCCCTCGGACCGGGCCAGGGAGTACCTAGACTGCCTGGGGAAGAACGTGGACATACAGTTCATTGACATGAACGAGAAGACGATGAAGAGGCAATACAAAAAATACATTCAGAGGATTGATGACATGGAAAGGATTCTGCGTTTCTTAGAAGAAAATATAAAAAAATTACCAAATGTAAAAATAAAAAAAAGTAAAATCGACTCCTTTTTAGAACACGATAATGTATATGAATTGGATCAAGTGGAAGAATCATTAAATCGTTTGTATGTTCAATTTGTTCGTTTTTGTAACAACAACAAGGACCTTGTTGATGAGAGAAACAATGCAGTAGAAGAGAAACACGTAATACTCACTGCTATAAATCAGTTGAATCCAGGTGGGACGAAAAATGGAAATATTGGTAATAGACTTGCAGAGAGTTCCCTTCCCTACGACGAGGTGAATGATGAAAGTGTCTCTTTACAAACGAATATGATGAAGGACGGAATGAACATGATGATGTTTACAAACATATCTGGGGTCATAAAGACAAAGGACCAGGAAAGTTTCAGTAGGACCATCTTTAGGGCCTTGAGAGGGAATACCTACACCTACTTCCAAAGCATAGACGAGAGTGCAGATGGTGCGAGAGGGGGAGGAGGGGATGAGAATGGAGATGAGGGAGGAGCGGGAGCATCTTCCTGCATGAACAACGCGAATGATGATGATGATGTGGTAGATGGAGGGAATGAAATGAACAATGGTAAAGGAATGAAAAATGAACCGAAAAGTGTTTTCGTGGTTTATTGTCAGGGATCTTCTCAGAGCAACATATATAATAAAATATTAAAAATTTGTAAAGCGTATGATGTGAAGACATATGATTGGCCAAAAACGTATGAACAAGGCAGGCAAAGATTGAAGGAGTTGAAGGAAATTATCACTGATAAGGAAAAGGCATTGAAGGCATATGAAGAATATTTTATAAATGAAATTTTCGTTTTGATTAATGTTGTTGAGCCGAATAAAAACAGTCTCATAGAAGAATGGAAATTATTTTGTAAAAAGGAAAGATATATATATAATAGTTTAAATTGTTTTGAAGGAAGTGATATAACATTGCGGTGTGATTGTTGGTTCAGTGCAAATGATGAGGAGAAAATTAGACACATGTTAATTACAAAATCTTCTAACGATTTAGTGTCCGCGTTATTGCTGTCAGATAAGGTCCTCACTCCAAACATTTCCCCTCCTACATATATTAAAACAAATATTTTTACAAAATCGTATCAGTCGATGGTGGATACGTATGGCATTCCTCGTTATGGTGAAATAAATCCTGCCATTTCTACCATCATCACTTTTCCTTTTCTCTTTGGTATTATGTATGGGGATGTGGGACATGGAGTTTGTATTTTCCTGTTTGCCCTTTTCCTAATCATGATTAACGGTCGTGTAAAGAATAAAAGTCAGAACGAGATGGTAAGTATGTTGCTAGATGGAAGGTATATGATACTGCTAATGGGTTTTTTTGCCATTTACGCAGGATTTTTATATAACGATTTTTTTTCTATGCCGCTCAATTTGTTCACTTCCATGTTTGAAGTTGATAAGCAAGTGGACTCAGTCCTTTATTACAAGAGGAAGCAGGTCATGAATGAAACGACTGGACAGATGGAAGATGCAGATCCTTATGTGTTCGGTTTTGATGCAAAATGGTTAGGAGCAGAAAATGAGTTGACTTATATAAATTCTTTTAAAATGAAATTTTCCATCATTATCGGGTTTTTACATATGACTTTTGGTGTCCTCATGAAAGGATTGAATGCATTACATTATAGAAGGAAAATGGATTTCTTTTTTGAATTTTTACCTCAACTGTTGATGATGCTCTCCATTATTGGGTACCTGGTGTTTTTAATTATTTATAAATGGGTGACTCCCATTGGCTATGGAGGTTATCACAAGCAGGGTATCATCAACACCATTATTAATATGTATTTGTTGAAGGACTTAACGCCGCAGAATCAGTTTTATGCTCACCAGGGATTGGTACAGGCGTTTCTTATTGCCGTTTTTGTTTTGTGTATTCCTCTCATGTTTGTTTGTAAGCCTGCCATTCGAACGTACCACATCATGAAGGAGAAGAAGAAGAAGGGTAAAGGGGGAGCGGGAGGGGGAGAAGCACCAGGTAGTTACTACCCTCACCACGAGGAGAAGGAGATGACACACACATTTAACCATTTGATGGGCGGCGGAGGCACTTCCTCCTCTCCCTCCTTGCATAAGAGAAGTCCTAATATGGGCTTCCCACATGGGGGTAACACTAACAACCGTGAAGATGACTACCTCTCCCCCAGAAGACGCAACAAGCCAACAGACGACGAGATGGAAGCTCACCTCCTGAGCCCTTCATCCCCTGAGGACCCCCATGGCATGGAAGCCGAGTCCTTTGGCGCAGGTTCTGCGGGAGCGGACCACCATGAAGAGAACATATCTGAAATATGGATCGAGCAGTTAATTGAAACTATTGAGTTTATATTGGGTCTAATCAGTAACACAGCTTCGTACCTGCGATTGTGGGCCTTGTCCCTAGCACACCAGCAGTTGTCCTCCGTCTTTTTCGAGCAAACTATTCTGAACTCACTCAAGAAGGATAGCTTCATGTCAGTACTTATTAACCTTATTGTGTTTTCGCAACTCTTCTCCATCCTTACCATCGCCGTCATCCTCTGCATGGACACACTCGAGTGCTTCCTCCACTCCCTGCGGCTCCAGTGGGTCGAATTTCAAAACAAGTTTTACAAGGGCGACGGCATTCCCTTCCGCCCCTTCAACATTAAGAAAGTGCTCTCGGATAATGACTAATGTGGGGGCAATTATAACTGAGCACATGGACGGCCTGCGCCCCGTTTACTCTCTTTCTCGCCGCATCCCCCCTTGGCGAGAGCAATTTTTCTTTTCATTTGCACCGTCCGTTCGTGCGCACAGAGGGGGGCTGCCTTACACACACGATATACGCACCCAGCCTGTGCTCACACGTTTATGCTTTATTGTATTTATTATTTTTTTTTTTTCCATTTTTTTTTTTTCCATTTTATTTATTTTTTTGTTGCCAAAGTTACATCCAAGTTGTGATCTGCTTTACATCCCACCCCCCCCATTTACAGACACATGTGAACGAAATTGTTTTTTTTGCTAACCATTTTTTTTCTTTTTTTTTTTTCGGGGGAACGTGTTACGTTTTCTCCACAAACATGTCTGGTGGGCATATTAAAAGGTCTTTTTTTTTTTTTTATTTGGAACGAGATGAAGAGGTGGAGGGAGGACGAGAGCAAATTTGCTTCGTTTGGGTAGCTATTTTTTTTTTTTTTTTTTTT